CCTATTTATAGAAATTTGGAGTGGCCAGAATGGCCCGTTCTGAAACTGGAACGGCCCATTCTGGACTCATTCATCCTGTAAAATTTATAATTGGAACGACCCGTTTTGGGGTTAAAATTTTCTCACAAAAACCATAACTGGAACGACCTGTTTCTAACTAAGATCTTTAGGCATTTTTTTAAGCTTGGAACAGCTCGTACCGCTTTGGGAATGACCCATTTTGGTCTAACAAATATAGCTCTCTTTGAAAATTTGGAACGACCATTCTGGGCCTTCAAAATAGGTCTCTTTACTAATTTGAAACGGCCCGTTCCGGGCCAACAAACACAATATTTTTTTAGAAATTTAGAACGGCCTGTTCCACTTTTGAGAACGGCCCGTTCTGAGCCTTCAAAATATCATAATATTATTTTATTATTTTTAATTATAAAATACTCTTTAATAATCCCCATAAATATTTAAAATACATAATAATCAATTATTAAAATCTCTAAAATATTCTACATAAAAGACCCCTTTTTATTAATTAATAACTATAGGAAAGTAATTTTCATAAATATAATAATTAACCATTGTATAAAATTTGGGATGTTACAACTACTAGATAAGAGTCATTTTCCTACGAATTTTCCTGCAAAAAAATATTCGTAGAAATTTTTTTGTGAATTTTCCTACGAAAAAATATTTGCAGAAATTTTTTGCGAAAAATAATTTACAGATATTTCTTACAAATTTTGCTACAATTTTAATGATCATAGAAATTTTTTTCCATAGAAAACATTTGCAGAAAACTTTTCCTGCAAATTTTCTTGCAAATTTTAATCTGCAGGAAAAATAAAAAAAATATTTAAATTTATAAGTTTAATATTTTAAAAAAACTTCAAGTCCCACATCGATTCAAAATAAAACAATTAAAGAGTATATAAGTTGGGACAGCACTTACCTTGTATGGTTGAGTGTTAGGCTTATAATATAAAATCTTAGAATTTAAAAGATTATGTATCACATGTTAGAGGCATGGAAACAAATGTTTCAGATGAATTCATTATGAGCATATGAAAGTTGAAGAATTATTGATAAATTTATAGTAATTTCTTTAATTATTTTCATAAAAAATATTGTTGCAGAATTTCTTGCAACAAAATTTGAAGGAAATTTTCCTGCAAATTTTCCTTCGATTTTTTTTGTAGGAAACTTTCTTGCAATTTTTTTGCAGGAAACTTTCCTACAAATTTTTTTCCCAGAAAATTTTCCTGCGATTTTTAAAATTCGCAAAAATATATTATCCACGAAGGTATATTACTTGCAGATAAAATTTAGCAGAAAAATTTGTAGGAACAACGTTTCCTATGAATTGGTAACAAAAATCAAATCCCTAGCAAGTTTCCTCAATATATGCTTATCCCTTCTTTCTCTTTAATGCATTCATTACAAGTCCAATACATTTTGTGCAACACAAGTTTTTGCTCTGGTTGACTCTTTACTACCTCATATTTAGTTCCATACAGTATTGTGGATCTTATGACTGTGCAGTAAAAATGAATATGGCATCATTTGAACATTTGGACACAGGAAAATGCTATAAAATAAATCAGTTATCACGAGCAGTTGAAAACAATTCATTGAAATCTGTCAAGTTATGATGTTCACTTATAGATGTCAACAAAAGAAGTATAAAAAAATATTAACAGATAAGAGGAGAACCTGTGATTCCAAGCAGTGATAAAATCACAGCTTAGCAGTAGAAGAGACTTGCTGTGTCTCAGAAGTATACTATCAAGATGGTCACAAGAAGAGGAAGCAGTTAAACAATTTCCAAATTTGTCAGATTGATTGTCACACATCTTGTATTCTTTGATTGTAGTCATAAACACATGTTTAGCAGCTCTATATAGCGGTAGAATAACATTAGTTGAAATTCCCAATTTATGATCTCTGTGCCAGAAATATAGGTTTTTTGGTTTGGAAGATTCCTCAGAGCTTGCTACCCTGTCTGCTGATTGATTCATAGCCCCATCAGATAAATTAGACGAAATGTCTGATTCTTCATTTAGCAAGGCAAATTGGGATGGATGAATAAATCCCAACTCGTCACTGGATACAAAAGCATAAGGGAAAACATATTAGAAAGAAGCAATACAACATAGTTATATCAAGCAACATATAATCAAGATTAACCTTAACCAAGACATGTTAAAATAATTGTTTATTATCTGCTGTATTGTACAGCTTTATAAAGCTTTTTTTTTTGTTGTATCTAGCCTACGGGTTAGGAGTCATAGACTTGTAGCCTTTTTCTATGATTGTACCCTTTGATTGTACTTGCTCATATCTATCTCATATACACATAAAAATTACATCAGCTGAGAACTCGCACTGACTTCTTCCATATTTTAAGCAATGCTAACAAGGTGTTATTCTAATAACCAAGGTTATATATTACAATATTTATATCATCCATAGACTTCATACGAGTGAATTTTACAAAATTCACTAAAATAAATTAGTAGTAGTTTTTATACAAAGTAAAACACTTACCATTAAGCATTCATGATGAAAAAGTTAAAGCTAGAACTGAAGGAAACATATTTATTGACAGGAACTCTAGAAAATTCACAAGTTTCTAAAGCAACTATGAGGCTAGTATTATATCAGTGTGTGTGCATGAAATCATTAAAACTTACATTAGAGCATCAGATTCGAGGATATCCTCCAACTGATTCAACAGATCCATAGCCTCTAACTCTACTTTAGAATCAGACTCTTCACTCATATTTGCTAACCTGTATCATGCCAAAGGTGCTGGCTTCAAACAAAACAAGAAAAAGAGGATGGTATCACTTTCCAAATCAATCTAAATAAATAATAATATGATAGAAACTAAGTCATCACAATGTAATCCACTACACTCCCTTCCTGCTTAAGGCCCAACAACACCTCGAAAGGGTTCTGTACCACCTCGGGCTGAAATCGTCTCAACAATGCCCCTTTGAACCCCGTCCACGAAGCATTTTGATTTCTGCCTTCCCACCATTGAAACCACGCCACCACCTTCCCTTGCAATGCCACCATAGCAACCTCCACCTTCTCGTCCTCCCATACCCCCTTCAATCTGAAATATCTCTCCATCTTTCCGACCCATCCCAACACGTCATCCCCCTGGAACAACGGAAGTTCCAGGTTTCGCCACTTTCACCCATTCTTTTCCGTTCTTGGGGCCCCAGACTCTTCGTCCCCTTCACGACCGTTACCTCCCACTATCCCCATAGTCACTCGCATTTCCTTCAACTGCTCCAGCATCTCGCGCATCGCCCCCTCGATGTTACGCCGCCATTCAGTTTCCTCCGCCAAGAGTTTCTGTATGTCCTGCAAGCCCTTTTACACCTGCTCCAACCGGAACTCCATTTTCTTTTCCATCCTTGATCGCCTCAGGTTCGTAACTGCTCTGATACTAGTTGATAGAATCAACTGGTAAAAAGAGAGAAGTGAAGGGATGGAACAAAAAAAAAAAAAAGGATGTCTGCAAGGTTTTTATTGACCCCCTTGCTGAGCCACGATAACATTCAATCGGATTCAGTACACTAGGCAAATTCAAGAGTGCCCACTATTGTTCCACACCCCTCTCCCCTTATGTCCTCCTATTTATACAATATAACAGTCCCCACAGACTATTATCAGTTAGTTATTAACTAACTAACTCCCTTTCCCCTCCTAACATAGACCTGTTTAACCACGGGTCTCCTATCAAAATCACAGTTAAGAATAAGCAAACAAAAGCACGCACCTTCACGTACTAAGCAAACTACGAAACACCTATCAATATTGAGAAGCTGCGTTCCGTATGACCGCACCTACGGATAAATTTAAGAAAGGATTTGAGTTTAGAGAATTGGCCCAATGGACACAACGTTTTAACTGTTTTGTCTTTTTTTTTTTTGGTTTAAGTTTGATAGGCCTTCTTTTAATTAAGTTTAATTTCTTTTAATTTTTTTTAAATAAGCACATATAATGTACTAAATGTAGTAAAATAATAAATAAATAAAAAATAATAATAATGATAAAGTATAATAATAATTTATGTAAAACATAATACTAATATATATAAAGAATGATTTATTTACTTAGGAGTAAATATACCTAAATGAGATTATCTATCGATTAGAATTAATGAAACGAAGTATCAAATGATTTTTAATTTTTTTTTTTAATTTACAAATTTATTTTGTACATTAATAACTTTAAGTTTAATAATTAGATCGTTAAAATTTGATATAAGCATGACTTATATAGAGTAAACGAATCTCTCTTTATATATATATATATATATATATTACACATATATATAAAATAAACTAAATAGATATGTGATTATGAGACATGTGACTGACACCACATGCATACATTTATAAGTTGAGTCAATGACATCATTGCATGATAATGAATGTGCATGTGATACTGATTGTATATATGTATTGTTTATATGTGATTTGTGCTTGTGACTTGTATTATGTTTGTTGTGTGTGTGTTGTCTAACATTTATTTCTGCAGCTGAACCTAAGTGAGATATATCTCAATCCCCTATTACTCTTTGTATGTGTTTAAATTGTGTTGTAGGTGATCATCGACATGAGGATGTTGGTGAAGAGGCTTAGGCTTCAATTGGGCGTGCTCTGATAGGATATATTCTCATATCATATTATCACACTCACAATCACAAGGTCACATATAAGAGATTCTCACCCTCGCCATGATCATAAAAAATACACCACTTGCACCAACACCATAATTAGAAAATTCTCACACCATTAGCACCTTCAAACGTAGCTTAAAATTTATCTGTTTTCAAAATTATTTGTTCCTCATAGGGTTTTCCTTATAGGGTTTCCCATAGGAACCCAAAGAGTACCCTAATTTATATCAAAACTTGTCTGTTTTCGAAATTAAACACATATTCACACTCAGCAAACATCAAGGAACACAACAGAAAACTCAAATATCAAAACATATCCAATCTTAAAATTAAACATACATTCATGTTCAGTAATCATTAGGCACTACTAGAATTTCTCTTATTACATGCAACTTTTCCTGCAAATTTTTATGAAAAATTCATAGGAAACGTTGTTCCTACAAATTTTTCTGCTAAATTTTATCTGCAAGTAATATACCTTCGTGGATAATATATTTTTGCGAATTTTAAAAATCGCAGGAAAATTTTCTGGGAAAAAAATTTGTAGGAAAGTTTCCTGCAAAAAAATTGCAAGAAAGTTTCCTACAAAAAAAATCGAAGGAAAATTTGCAGGAAAATTTCCTTCAAATTTTGTTGCAAGAAATTCTGCAACAATATTTTTTATGAAAATAATTAAAGAAATTACTATAAATTTATCAATAATTCTTCAACTTTCATATGCTCATAATGAATTCATCTGAAACATTTGTTTCCATGCCTCTAACATGTGATACATAATCTTTTAAATTCTAAGATTTTATATTATAAGCCTAACACTCAACCATACAAGGTAAGTGCTGTCCCAACTTATATACTCTTTAATTGTTTTATTTTGAATCGATGTGGGACTTGAAGTTTTTTTAAAATATTAAACTTATAAATTTAAATATTTTTTTTATTTTTCCTGCAGATTAAAATTTGCAAGAAAATTTGCAGGAAAAGTTTTCTGCAAATGTTTTCTATGGAAAAAAATTTCTATGATCATTAAAATTGTAGCAAAATTTGTAAGAAATATCTGTAAATTATTTTTCGCAAAAAATTTCTGCAAATATTTTTTCGTAGGAAAATTCACAAAAAAATTTCTACGAATATTTTTTTGCAGGAAAATTCGTAGGAAAATGACTCTTATCTAGTAGTTGTAACATCCCAAATTTTATACAATGGTTAATTATTATATTTATGAAAATTACTTTCCTATAGTTATTAATTAATAAAAAGGGGTCTTTTATGTAGAATATTTTAGAGATTTTAATAGACTGACACCACATGCATACATTTATAAGTTGAGTCAATGACATCATTGCATGATAATGAATGTGCATGTGATACTGATTGTATATATGTATTGTTTATATGTGATTTGTGCTTGTGACTTGTATTATGTTTGTCGATTATGAACCTCTTATCTCTCTCTCAAAACTCATTCACAGAATTATCGGTAATGGATTGGGATTTGGGAATGATCTCTCTCTCTCTCTTAACTTCCTAAAAAATCATCTCCCTCTCCATCAAATCCTTCAGTCAAAAAGAAAGCGGTCTTTCTCTTATTTACCTAAAAACTTGACAAAAAATTTTATAACATTAAATTTTTTAAAAAAATTACTTTGAAAATAATTAATTTAATATTAAACAAGTCCTCCTATTTTATTTTAAAAATTTAGTTTCTTTTGCTCACAAATTCACATTTTCCTTTTTCTAAAATTTCTATTAAATTGTATTTTTAATTAGTTCAATTAAAAAAATTTATTTTTAATTTTTTTATAAAGTAATTAAATTCTCAAATCATTGTATTTAGAAAAATTGTTAGCAAGAATATATTATACCATTCAAGCGATTGTTACTAACTACTCACAGCACATCACACATTGATGTATTATAACGAGAAATAATGATATAAGATTTAATTATTTTAATGTAATCAATAACATATTAATTATTTTTGTTATCATTAGCATAAAAAATATTTCTTTATTATTTATTGTTAATGGACTAATTTCTTTGATATTATATATAAAGAGATTGAGAGAGAAGATTATCTATTTTTCTAAACTTTCGTTCATATTCCGTTGTTTTGGATATTATTTATAAGACTCCGATGTATTTGACATTAGTACATGAATTTGAACACATTGCCATGTAAATCTTGGAAAACAAATCGATTATTAAATTATGTCAGAGATCTTCCGAAAACTTTGTAGTAGTTTTTGTCACGACATCCTATTCTCTTTCATTATTTTTATTAATATTTTTTAACATGTAATATTGAAAGGATAAAACTCGTGCAAATATATCACGAGCCACAGTAATAGAGTGTCGATATATATCATAAAAATTCAGTAAAAACACAAGAAAATAAAGGCATAACTTACAACTAGGAAAATTTAACAGCAAAAGCATAACATACAGCCAAGTAAGCCTCGTACTTTGTATTCTATTAAGTTAAAAAAGCATATACAAATAAGAAAATATTCGCGGCATCATAAATAGAGCAAAAGCAAACAATTCCATATTGGGTTAAGCATCCAATTACTTTAAGACATTTCATATATAGGTATATACAATAGGTCAAAAAATGTTTCATAAAATTGAAAATACAGAGTTGATTTGCTGTTAATATTCATACTATAAATTATAAAAGTTTCATATACAAAATACACAAATTAAAAAATAAATATGACGAGTGAAGCAAACTTCTACTTATTCCCATCAATGGTTACAAACAATACAGGAAATATCAAACTATAAACCAAAAATAAGGAACATGTACCCTCTCCTGCCTCTATAGCAGAATGTTATCTACAACAAAAATATGGACCATTAATCAAATTTTCTCCCACATTTAATTATTGTACAATAACTAATCAATGTTTGTGATTTGGCTGAATGTTGGCTGCAATGGATCTATATTGGAATTAAGCATTTTTATCAATATCCTTATTATACTCACAATCAGTTAGTTCTACTTCTTGCAAAATCAAAAAGAGTGTTAGGGTTTTTCTTGTGTCAAGAAATATTGGGAAGTTGTCGAAGCTTCTAGATAGAGGGAGAGACGTTGGTCGATCAAGTGAAACGTTTAAGGAAGAGGTTATGGGCCCTCGTTATCCTCTCTGGTACGTAATCTCCTTGAGGAGGGTGTTATGTCCTTGAAATATGAAGGTGGTGATTGTCTCCTTCCTAAGTTTATTATTGCTGAATTAACCTTTGTGAAACTATGCGAACCATGAAAATAATGTATGGTGGTGAAATTGTTGGGGAAGAACATTGGTTTCATTATTATGCGGAGCAGGTTGCAAATGCTTCGAAATGGATATATCACATGGCTATTTCATGGTGAAATTTGATCTTGGTGCCGATAGGGAGTTATAATGCAAGGAGGTTTGTGGATGCTCTTTGATCATTACTAGACTATTAGACAATGGTCATCGAGGATTGTGGCATTTGAGGTAGGGGAGGATAAAACCCTAGTTTGGGTCTGCTTTCCAGGGCTAGGCATAGTGTTTTATGACGAGAGTGTTCTTCTTACTATAGTCTCAACGATAAGAAGGCCTATTAAAGTCGATCTCAACACCTTAAACGCTAAACCTCTATAAATCGGTGTTAGGTAAGTTTAATCTCAACAATGTACGGTAGAAAGCAGAATACAAAGGCTTACATTTACTTTGTACCATGTGTGGTTATTACGGCCATGTTGCCCGTGTGCGTGCGACTCCTTTTGTAGCGACGGAGAAGAGTACAAGGTAAGGAGACAATGACAAAGGGAGGAGGTTTGTCAACGTTGAGTGGAGATGGCAGCATTGATGAGAAGACATAGAAGAAGAGTGATCATGAGATCCTAGATGTTTCGATGAATTCGCTACAGCCGCATAGGGGATTGATTGATTGTGAAAAAAAAAATCACGGGAACAAAATAAAAGCAAATTATTTACAACACAATTCATGCATGGATATGCATGGATTGGGGAAGGATAAAGATTTTGACAAGATATGAGCGTGAGGAAATATCTTAGCTATTACGAATGAGTCCTTAGCACTATCCAAAAATATGAATAATCATGTGTGGCTTGATGTTCAGATTATGTTGGCAAATAGGGTTGGGCCTAATAAAGGGGTGCATGAGGCTATGAGGAAAGAGAAGAACGAGGTCATGCTGACATAGGCGATCCATGCATGCATGTGGGCGTGATTAACATCCAGGAGGTTAACTTGAAGCCAAGGTCTACTCAGAGTATTGCTCCTTGAATTGCAGAGTTTAAGTTTGTCTTCCTCATCAAGCATGTTAAGGGTACCCAATATATGTATTAAGATGAGGATTCCTTGGAGGGGGTTCAAAGTGTGGTGTAGGATGGCAACTGAGATGATTGTAAGGGCCATCCCAAGGTTGAGGATATAACTCATGATGACATACTCTCTTGA